GGTGGTGGCGGTAGTGGTTGTGGGGCTTGATCTCTGGGCCTGGGTGCTGTCCCTCAGCTCTTCAGCTCAAGGTGAGCGCTCTACCACTTGAGCTACAGTGCAACTTCCAGTTTTCTGGTGGTTAGTTGGAGATAAGAGTCTCACACACTTTCCTACCAGGGCTGGTGATCCTCAGATCTCAGCCTCCTGAGTAGCTAGAATTACAGGTGTGAGCCACCAGCGGCTGGCTACATCACATATACATAAGACACTTTTCTAAGGATCTGGGTTCAAGTCACATCCCTGTCAACTCTAGACAAGGCACTATAGGCAAGGAGTGTAGCAGTGCTGAGCCTCAGCTTTCAGGTCTGCAGGATGGGGTGAAATCTGCACCTCCATCATCGAGCTGCTGGAGATCACATAGTGGAGAGATTGCAAAATACCTGGCCCAGTGCAAAATTTTCATAGTGTAAAATTTTCTGAACGTAATTTTTGTCATTAATATTTAATACATTTGTTCATTAAAATGAACATTTAGCTCTTTATAAGAAAGGAAATCAAGCACCTTTATAATTGGAAGACTAATGTATAAAGTAGGTAGTGTTATTTACTCTTCCTTCTTCCTCTACTATTTGTAAGTGATCATTGTTGAATTCTCTGATTGCAAAATAAGTGGGAGACATTTGGAATCCTCACAGCTGGGAGTATGAATGACTCCTGTTTCTCCACTCACGTTTTCTTTGTAAATCCACCTTCCATACGGCTCCCAGAACAGTTTTGACCATACAGCTATGACCATGTGAGTCAGGCGCTCCATGGGTCATGTGGTATTGTTGTCTGCGTATGAACCAACCTCTGTACTCTGGGTTTAACATTGAAACCAGGTCTTTTTGAGCACAATGATGACATCTCTTATATCTTTGCTACTTATCACAGACACTGGCATGCTTTGCAACTCAATAAACCTATTTTATGTCTACAGTAAAACCCGATGACTTCTAAACATCCAAAGTCACATGATTAGTATTGTTAAACAACACGTCACCTTCTACTGAGCCACAAAAGTGCAAGGACTTTATATATGCTCCGTATTTATGTCTAAAATATTACCCTATTTACATCAAGCTAGTGTATGGTAGCTCACATCTCCCTCCCTAGATAGGAAGAGTTTTAAGCAGATAAGTGACACATTGGATACTGAGGAGCTCCAACAAGACAGAGTAGTTCCCCACTCAGAAAGGCTGCACAATGAGAAGAAATACTGTTAAAGGAGAAAAAGAAAACTGTGAGGAGAATGTTAGACTCCCATGACTTAACATCTAGAAATCACCCTTTTAATTTGGATTGTAGTGTGAAGTTAGAATTCTGAAAGCTGTGGCCAGCCTTTATAATTTGTCTACCATGTAGACCTAGCAGAAAGCATGGGTATTATTCCATGTGTGTGTGGGTGCGTGAATGTGAGTGTGTGTGTGTGTGTGTGTGTGCATGTGTGTGCTGGTACAGGGTCTTAAACTCAGGGCCTCAACTTTCACTTGGTTTTCTTGCTCATAGCCAGTGCTGTACCACTTGAGCTATACTTCTAGTCCTACATTTTGTTGATTACCTAAAGATTGAATCTCACAGACTTTTCTGCCTGAGATGGCTCTGAACAACCTTCCTGGTCTCAGCCTCCTGAAAAGCTAGTATTACAGGCACGAGCCATTGGTTCCAGGCCACAGATATGTATAGGACATAGATATGTATATGTATTTACTAACCAAGTACCTTCTGCAACTGGTAACCTGAAGCCCTCTGGCAGAACTTTTAATTTCCAGAAATTAAAATGAAAATGCGGCTCAACAAAGGACCCTTCTTGAAAAATTCTAACCTGTATGTTTACCTTTTGACTTTGTACAGTTTCATTCCCATAGCCTGACACATGTTCTAAATCCAAGTCTTAGAATTTATTAGCATTCCTCATCCATGCAATTCATTAGCAGCCTGCCTGCCTCAGTCAGTATGACTCTGTAATCCTGGCAGTAGGTTGGGATGCTGGAGTTCTCATTCTCTTACCATCATCACCAATGAGAAAATCCCAATGGCCAAACCACAGACACACATCTAGAATTCTATAGATTTTTATCACCCTGGATGCAAGATTCTTGGTCCACAATCCCCTCTTGCTTAAGATTATTATAATCACATTCTTGCTTTTGCCTTTGATCCTAAGCCTATTCCTACTATGGAAACCATAGAAATCCTGTCATGATTTAAGTCCGCTTGTGTCATTCTCCCTCCACTCCTATAGGAAAGGCAGCACTTTAAGTCCTCATCAAGACTTACCATCTGGCTTTCCTTACCTGGCCTTCAACTGCATCTCAACTGCCAATGCACTGAAATCCTACCACGGTCTTGTCTTTGCCCCTGGTCCCTTTGGCCTCCTTGCTGTGTTGTAAACTTATCAGACACACACTCAGGAATACAGGACAAATAATTGTGAAATGTGACATTAGGAAAAGTCCTCATCTCCCTTGTCATCATGTGTTTTAGTTGCCAATGATAGATCTCCCAAATCCCAACTCTCCAAATCCAAAAGCTATTCTGCAATCCGGACATGTAACTGTGTTCTCACTATTAGCAAGCCAGGTGGTTGCCAACCTCAGGGTGCCTGGAATGGTATCAAGCACACAGGACGAGGCAAGGAATCTGAAAGTTCTCTAGAAAGAATCAATCATCTATCTTCCATATCTCTTCTGGGCCACAGTGTGCTGATTTCTAAGTGGGATGGAACGATCTTAACCAAAGCAAGTACCTGAAATGTCATTATAAACTCAGATCCATAATCGTAACTCAAACCACCACCAGCAATCTGCATGACAAGTCTTTACATGAATATTTAAGAAATACCCATGTTAAACTAATAAATGTGGGCACCTTAACTCTTTGGTGGTACATGAATTATTTTCCACACCAAGTAGCACAAAGATAGGGCCAGAAAAGCCGTAAAACCACTGAAAAAGGAAGGAAAATGAAGACACGTGGAAATGTGCTGGTCAGCTAGAGCTCGCTTTCAGGTGAGAGAAGTCTTCTTATTCCCAACCAACCACACACACATATACACAAATATGCACATGCACACATACACACATGCATATATCCAATCCTTTGAAATGTCCACACAAGCTACTTGCACAACGCATTTACTCTGCAGCCTCTCCCTAGTCAATGAAATGAGGAGTTACATGGCACTTGGCTACTCTTTACCCCTCCCTCAACCTCTCCTCCAGATCCAAACATGTTCAGCCCCACACCATGCTCTACAATTTGAAGGTAGTGCAATACAACACCCCCCCCACACACACACACCCACACACACGTAACTAACGCATACAATCATTGGGAAGGAAGTATGTAGAATCTCAGACACTTCATTGATTTCTCCCACCAGGAAATGAATGGTCTTTTAGAATAAAGTCATTCCCAGAACCAGTTTCTCCTTTTCTCAAGGGTACTTGGGGTGGCTGACAGGGTGACAGGACTCTTAAGTCCATCACAGTGACCTTAAGTCCATCCCTCTTCTCTGACCTGATATTTTGTAAGCACATACAAAGTTTTGGTGCCTAGGTCTTGCTGGTTCTGAATACCTACAGTCAAGATATTTTGGGCTGGGTGCTGGTGGCTCACGCCTGTAATCCTAGCTACTCAGGAGGCTGAGATCTGAGGATCGAGGTTCAAAGCCAGCCCAGGCAAGAAAATCCGTGACACTCTTATCTCCAATAAGCCACCAGAAAACCGGAAGTAGTGTTGTGGCTCAAGTGGTAGAGTGCTAGCCTTGAGCTGAAGAACTGAGGGACAGTGACCAAGCCCAGAGTTCAGGCCCCATGACCCACCAAAAAAAAAAAAAAAAAGATATTTTAGTGCTTACACTAGCTTGGTATGATTGTCCCCTTCCAAAATTCTATTCTACAGAGAGCCACAGGTGAGAGGTGGTTTTCAGCTCAGTAAACTCATCTAGTATCATTTTATGAGCAGCCAGTCCCAGCCTGCGGCCAGCGAGACCAGCCCAGCCCATGCTGATTCCTGTGCTGAATTAGAGCCCCCTTGGCCACCTGCCTCGTGCCGGCAACAAGTTCCTTTTTTATCCTATTTATCTTCACAGTCATCTATTTGTGTCAAGAAAGGAAACATATGAACACAGCATCTGTTACTCGAGCGACACAATTACCAAATACTTCTATAAGGAAAAAAAACCGGCCATAAATTCCCATTCCTTGTCAGGTGTTTCAGGGGACAAAGCATTAGTCTTGCGATCACAGTGCCTAGTGTAAACCGGGCATATGGTGCCTCACAGCAGAGTCTCTGTGGCTCAGTCTGGCGTTTGATGGGCACAGCCACCAAAGGAATGTCACCTTGTGTGTGTGTGTGTTTGTGTGTGTGTGTGTGTGCAAATGGCTGGGAAAAGCAGTTTTCCTTTCCCCAGGCAACTCCCTCCCTCCTTACAATAAAACTGCTGACAAACTCGCTAGAAATTACTTTTCCAAAGCTACCGAAATGTCCTCCAGCTGAGGGTGGGATGGGAGCACATCCCTCTCTGTCTGTCTGTCTGTCTGCCTGTCTGGACAACTCAAGATGATCTTTCTACAGACACAACTGTGGCTACCGGCGGCTCTGCTTGGGGGAGGCAAAGCAACAGGTGCATGCGACTCTATGGCATTCGACTTGTCCTGGTGTTTGGAGGGTGTAGAGAGGGAAAGAGGGAGAGAAGAAGAGAGGGAGAGAGGGAGAGAAGAAGAGGGAGAGGGAGAAGGAGAGGGAGGGAGAGAGACAGGTGTCGACAGGCAGAGAGATCTGATTACAGCCAAAGACACCTGGGCCCAAAGACAGGCACGGCCATTTAAGGGAGTCCTGACTTTCTCCAATGTCCTGGTCCTGCAAAGACGAACACCCTACTGACGCCCGTCTGTCCGTCCGGGCTGCCCGGGCCCGCCCCGCGCGCCCCCCGCGCGCCCCCTTGCGCGCCCCGCGCCCCGCGCGCCCCTCACCTGCCAGGCTGCCCGGCCTCTGGAGGGTGGCGGTGGCGTACAGCTCCTGCGAGTGCTTGCCGTACGGCTCGGACGCGTGCACCAGGCGCTTGGTGGGCGACAGGGTGGCGTAGGTGCCGATGGTGGAGCTGAGCTGGTGGATGGGCGAGGAGGACAGGGCGGACTGCACGGTGGGGGGCGAGGTCACGCGCAGCGGGGACAGGCCGGCCGAGGACACGACGATGTTGATGGGCGAGCTGGTGCTGTAGGACTTGGCCAGGCGGCTGGGCGACTGCTTGGGCGAGGAGCCGCGCGGGGCGGCGTAGGCGGCGGCGCCCTCGGGGGCCGAGCCCCCGCGCTGCAGCTTGGTGGGCGAGCCGCCGGGGGGCGCGGCCAGCGGGGAGCCGCCGCGCGGGGGCGCGGGCAGCGTGGAGCTCGAGTAGTAGAGCGCGGCGGCGGCGGCGGCGGCGGCGGGCGGCGCGTCCGGCAGGTGGAAGGCGCTGCCCAGGCTGGGCGCGAACGGCTCCCGCGGCGGCGGCGGCGGCGGCGGCGGCGCGGGCTCGGCGCCCGCCAGGTGCCCGGCGCGGCTCGTCGTGCCCTGTGTCCGGAAGGGGCGAGGGGAGAAGGACACGCGCGCTTAGCGGGCCTGGGGGTGGGGCGGGGGGTTCGAACCGCGCCGACCCCCCTCCCGTCATCCTCCCGGAACACCGGGGTGGGGGGGATTCGAACCCGCGCCGACCTCCCCACCCCTCACCCCCACCTCCGTCATCCTCCCCGGACACCGGGAACCCCGGAACCCCCGGCCGGCTTGGAGACACGGGGGAAGGGTGATGCCTTCGCTAATTTAGAAGGTGTTTCCGGGACTTGTAAAGAATAGTTTTAACAGACCGCCCTGCGGGGCCCTCAGGCCTGTCTGGGCGTTGTCCAGATCTAGGGAAAACAACACAAGTGTCTGTGCACACACACACACACACACACACGGCACGCCCGGGATTTTACCAGACACACCCATAACCTCCCCAAGTGGCCAAGCTACAGACTTAGCCAGACGATGTCAAGAATAATTAATTACACGTCTTAGAATTATTCTGCTATTGCTATGTGGACTCTTCTAGAACAAGGAAAGTTTAAACAGGAGGGGGGGCGATGAAGGAGAGAAGTAAGCTTGCTTTTACCCCCCCCCCCCCATTCTAGAAGAATGAGCGAAAATGAAAAGTTTTAGCAGAAGGCCTCCCTTTCTAGACTTTTAACCTGGCCTCCTAGTCTTCCCGTGTCTGTCTGTCCTTCCCCTCTCTAGCTCACTTGCAAGACCCCCCCCCCCCCCAGCTGTGTCTCTCCACTCTAAGCCTGTTGGCCTCTCATTTATTTACAAGATCACAAAAGACCACGGGGGAGTGGGGGGGGGAAGATTCCAGAGACAGTTTGCATTCAAATGCAGCACAGCTTTGGCCAGCTTTTCTGGGCAGGAGTTGTCCAGTGTTCCTGGATCTCCGCGGGGAGCGAGAGGATTTTCTCCTTGTGAAGGGGAAGGGAATGGAGTTGTAAGTACACCCACTGAGAGAGAAGCTGCTTAGAAAAGGCTGGAAAGGAGGCTGCAGGTGGGGGTCAGGGAGCGAGGGGGTGAGGAGCTCAGTCAGCTCTGGAAAGTTTCATTCTGCCTCCCCACCCCTTGAGGATGGCAGGAAGCCCGTGCTAGGCTGGGCGCTCTCATCTGTGGGTCCACACACATTCACCTTGTCTCTGGGATCTCAGCATCTTCGGTTAGAACAGCTTGGTGTGAGGGAGAGAAATGCTTTGTGAAGAGACACTGTCCTACGCATGTGTGTTTATCTGTATGGCATATACTATTTATATATGACGGGGGTATATTTAATCTACTTTCACACGAACAGGATACATTTTAATCCACACTGCCACTATGTGCTCTGCAGGGGTAGTGAAAAGGAAAACGTCCTTCAATGCTGCCCTTCAGTGAGAGTCTCCAGGAACAGCAGGGTTTGATTCATAGAAGAGCCCGCAGGAATAGGTGTGGAATGAAAGAAGGCCTGGCTAATAAAGCTGGATCAGCAGAGGAGCTGTGGTTCAGGTGGTGGAGCACCAGACTTGAGCAAAAGACCCAACCAAGAATGCAAAGCCCTGAGTTCAAACTAAACAAAAATACCACTGGCTCAGAATACCAGTAGCTACTCAGGAGACTATGATCTGAGAATAACTGTTGGTAACCAGCCTGAGACTCTTATTATCAAATAACCACCAAAGAGCCAGAAGTGAAGCTATGGCTCAAGTGGTAGAAAACCAGCCAGAGTGAAAAAACTAAGGGACATGCTCAGACCCTGAGTTCAAGCTCTGGGACCAACACAAAAACCCAAAACCAACACCAAAAAGCTGGACTCCAGGCTTTGGCAGTGTGTGTGTGTAAGTTTGCAGACAAGCTGTAGAAAACTCCTGTATCTCCCTGATCCTCAAGGAGACAGTCAACTTCCATCCAAAGAAGCTCAGAGCTTCTTGCCCAGCAACTGTTCTGGGCTTTCCAAACCTAGCTGCATGGTAAAATGCCAGGAAAAAAAAATATATATATATACACATATATATATGTGTATATATATATATATAACTATATATGACTAATGTGAGTCCTCCACCAGCTGGTATGCCTCTCAGCAAACATTCCTTAGTGTCCATTCCTTAGTGTCTAACAAACTAGATACTTATTTGTATGCAAGTTTTAGATGAGTCAGGTTTGGAATACAGTACAGTTGTATATTTTATATTGTGTGTGTGTGTGTACTTGGTGGTACCTTGTGTATAACTGTAGAATGCATTTATACTTATTTTATAAAACTGTTTAAGGGGAGGGCATGTTTCCCAGGTGTGATAGAAATACAATGAATTGGGAAGTTGGACATGAAATACATCATTCCCAGCATTATTCCCACTGCCTAGCTGAGCTCCATGCACCAGTTCCCTGACTAACTCCGCAACCAGCTGTTTTCCACGCAGGAATGAGGCATGTGCTCTGGAGGGAGACGCAGCAGTTCTCTTCAATGAAATGTTTTACTCTGGACATTTCTTTGGAGCACTATCACTGTTGTCTTTGTGTTTGTGCAGCGTACTCTCCGGCTCACAAATACCACTGTTCTTTCTGGGAAGAAGGAGCCTCTGAGAATATAGTGCTCTTAGACCAGAAGGTACTACACACAGCTGCTTCCTGGTCTTTGTGCTAGATCTTCTGCCTAGGTCACTGGATGGTAGGGAAGGCATGGGGGGGAAATTCTTGGCATCTGATAAATTAGTTAATGCACATTCTTTGGGGATTTGGAGGTACAAACCAAACCAAACAAAGCAAAAAGGGGAAGAACCAGTAATGCTTACAGTCAGTTAACAAGAGACTTGAGAGCCAGCCACACTCAGGAATCATGGCTGTGGTCACAAGTTGCGTAAGCCATGTCACTAAGCAAAAGCAGATCCTTTAGAGCAGGTCCGTGATCTCTGGGAAGTCCTAGGAAAGCCTTTCAGACTTGCCAAGATTCCTGCACTAGTCAGCAAGGCCCTCCGCTGTGAGATAGAAGGGAGATTTGTCCTGCACGCTGGGCAACCAGGCCAATGACCTCAGGAATGGAGAACTGGAGCTGCTGGCTGGTGGCTTTCCAAAAGGTGATCTTAGTGGCTGGCCGTCAGCAGCGGTCTGGTCTCCCCTTCTCCGCTCCTCTCCTCCCCTTCTCCTGTGGTTACAATGCATAGGCAATCCCCACGCTAATAATGTCCCCCTTTGAAGACAGTGGTGGCCAGTGGTGGCTCAAGTCCATGGATCACAGAAGTGCTTCTGAGCAAGTATAGGGCCATAAAAGAAAAAGCTGGAGAGCACATTGCAAAGACAGGCAGTGTCTACCAGGGCAGAGCCTCAGAAGAACGTGGCCCTGAATTGGGTGAAGGGGGAGTTGGGCTGGTGTTGAAGAAATCCTCTCTCAACACCAGAGGCTATCGTGGTGACACAGTGGTGAGAGAGGTCAAGCAATTATGGACACATGGGTAAGAGGAAGGGGCCAGGATGGAAGGCAGAGCATTCTGATGACCTCTTGGAAGAAGGAGATTTCTAATATGACAAACCAGAGATGTGATTTTATAATGGCATCTCTGTGCTGTTATAATTATGATTTTTGAGAAATTGTTTTCCTTCCTTAGTAGAAGTTTCTCTAAAGTTTTCAAACTGAGTACAAATATAGTTCAGGCCATTTACTCTCACGACTTTGAAATGAGAACTCACCAGTTCCATAAATGTGAACTAGCATATTCAGGCATCAGCTACAATGTTCCTATTTGGAAACCTACATTCTCAAAGAAATTGTATCTCCTTTATTTATTCTCTGCAATGGAATGATTTGATTTTGTTTTTGCAAAACTACTATTGCTCACAGGATCTGGATAATTTCTCTTTTGTAATTGTCTTCAGAAGGAGTAACAGTATTTCACAGGAAACAACTGTTGGCTACTGTGAGAAAGATTTGATTTTGGAAATAGAGAAATAAAAGCATCGAGTGCTGGTCTAGTGATCTCCTTGAGGGCTTTGATTTTGGCAAAAAACAAAAAAGCAAAAACAACCCAAACTAATCTATAAACCAAGGGAAGAGTCAGCGTCTGCGTGCAGCTACCACTTTGTCTCTGAAGCCTTCATGGCTAGGATCGCTACTCTCAAGGAGGAAATGAAGGCCGGGTTTGCTGAAAGGTGATGCCCTTAACTCACTGAAAAACTAAGCACTTGGAAAGGATTCCTTTTCTCTCATGAGAATATCTCAAAAAGCCATAAGGACAACTTCCACACTGTAGATAACAATGCAGATCATCCTCAGTGCTCCCTCTTTGCCCAAGGTTGGGAGGGAGGGAGGAAAGGAAAGGAGGGAAGGGGGGAGGGTAAGAAAGCAATGACTCAAGAGAGGGCAAAAGAGACTCATCCTTGCCTTTGAAACAGGAGGCACATGGTGTTCATTTTCCCAGTCTTCAAAGTCATTAGTGCAAATATGGCATGCTCTATATTTGCAATCTTGGATGTGGATTTGTCCTTTCTCTTTAGCCTCCTTTTAATAAAAATGCTATTAGACTCATCACCTATAACCACTCTCTTAATTATTTTATATGGGAACATTTCTGTATTTCCCCATAGGAAAAAATGAGATTAGAAAATGAAAATCCATGGTATAAGCAATTTACACACATTTAGCTTTAAGTATGTAGAGTCTTCCCTTCCATCTTCCCTCCCTTCCCTTCTTTCCTTCCTTCCTTTCCATCCATTCTCTCCCTTCTCCTTTTTTATTCTCTCCCCCCCCCCCCCCCCCAAGTGCTGGTTGACGACAGTACTTTGCACTTGATCTATACCCTTGCCATTTTGGTTTTCAGATAAGATCTCATTAATTTTTCCTGGTCTGGCTCAAGACCCTCATAAGTAGCCAGGATTCCAGGCCTGTGCTCTGTCAGGAGGGCTTTCTTGGTGGCAACTCTTAAATAAGTCCTAGAGAAAACACTCTACGTATGTCTTTCGTCATAGCCTAGAGCTAACTTGGTATAATTTTAATAATCTAAACATTTGCACAGAAGGTGAAATGTTACAGTGTAACACAAACATACTTTCTCTGCAACAAGAAATGCCTCAATTGTTGGAACTAGGTTAAATATGCTTATAGTAGAAAGATAAAATAGAAAGAGGAGATTTTAAAGCAAAGCAAGGCATAAGGATTTACAATAGGCAATCATCTTAAAGCGCTCTGAAAAACAGGTTCTGCCATTTTCCCACAAACATGCCAAGGAAAATACATAAACTGACATAATTTCTTCGCTGAATGATGCATGATACATGCACTCTACCCTAAATTTATCCCTGTGATTTTGTGGTTTCACTGGAAAATGTTTTCTTAAAGGCAACTTCTTTCACAATCAAACAGGAGTGGCATCAGAGTACTTATCCTTATAGTCCTTTGTATTCTAAGATCAATACAGCAGGGATCAATGCAATCACTATCGATCAATACAACAGAGGTGAACACAGTAAGAATCAAATCCAACTGGGATCTCGCTCTTCTTTTGTACCTCATGCAGGTGCTAACACCATGCACAGAGCACCCAGCTCCTGGTCCTTTGCATCTAACAGACACGGACAACAGGCATTCTCCAATAAAGCAATGATCCAGTGTCCAGGAACACATTGCCTCTGGCACAAGCAAGCAGATGCTTATGTTATGATATAACATAAATGAAGAGTTGTAAGACTTACACGTTAGTGCAACATTAACTAGATAAGCCAAATCAAAAAGAATTGGCTATTTTGCTTTTCAAAAAAGCATAGTGCTTTCCCAGAATCTCTACTACTGTATGGTTTTATTTCTGAGAACTAGCAGGTGATTCTGTTTCCTGCAGCTGGTGGCCCAGGCCATTTCCTTAGGATGGCATTTCTGCCCACCCTTCATTTCTACGGCATGACATGCAAATGCCGTTCACCTCTTTTGGCTCCTGCACTACTTTCTAAGCATTGTGTCTACAGATGTCTTCTTGAATACTTCTTAGATATTCTGTTTCTTTGAGCTGCTGGTGACAGAATATTTTATGTTTAGACACAGGGAGAGACTCACCTTTCAAGAGTGATTCCTCAAAACTAGAGGGTTTTTATTTGATACTTTATATAATCTGATGATTTTACATGAGTGAAAGCAGGCAAAGCCTAGAGGAGAGCTAATGCTCTTCATCTCTACCCTACCTACCCACCTAAGCCATATTATTAAAGAGAAGTTGGATGGTGTTGGAGGAGCTTGACGACATTGGATGAACTCTGGGCCATTTACTGGGCATAGAGACATTAATTTTGCATGGCTATAGCTGTTGCACTGACACAACCTAAGGGAAGAAAGGAACGTACATGCAACTGTAGGACGTGTGGGACATGGTACGACAGAGCAGGTTTGAACATGTAAGGCAGGCTGTGTGTTTTTATTCTGTTCAGAATTCTTCACTAGCTTCTCATTTCACTGAGTGAAGATAAGAACCTAACGGTGACCAACTTGGTGTCCCATCACTTTGCAAAAGCCCAGTTCTGTTCTGGCCACACTCTCCTCCTTGGCATTAGGTGAACATGCCAGGCTGCCTTGTCAGGGGGCACTGTATTCACCAGCTCTCTCCTTCTTCTGTCTTTGTCTGCTCACCTAATGTCCCTCAGTGAGGTCCTGAAACATGTGATATCCTGTATTTTCTGCTGATGCCCTTGCTTTCCCTATTCTGTGTCTATTTCCTTCCCAGAGAAACCATCACCTTCTAATATGGCATACCATTTCACAGCATGGATTTTTTTTGAGTCTCTATCTCTGTTGCTAGATAGAACCTAAGTTCCCTGTGGACAGGGATTATGTCTATATAAATTCAATGTCCAACACATAGGCCTCTGACACCAATGGACAGACAATAAATAGCTAGAATGCATTGAAAAATTGCCCAGAGGTACAAAGTAATTGGAAGAGTAACTCCACTTTGAGCCAAACCAACATAGAGGTCAATGCTGACTTGGAGGAAGATGCAAGGGACAGAGCAGTATCTACAGAGAGACTTTGATAGGAGTGTGTGGCTTGGATGACCCTAGTTCTCAGGCTAGGGGAAAGGATTAACTGCATATCAACTCATGGCACTTCCTGGGCAACAATGACTTGTTGGTCTGGTGACACAGGGTGCATACTTGCTCTTCTCAAACTCGTCTTCATGAACTCAGCTTAGGGTCTGGGGAGATTTTTTTAAGAATCCTTGCTAAGGAATATGGTACCAACTTCTGTGGCTTGTAGGTTTACTCATGGATTGAGACAAGCAGGCAGTGTAGGTTTATATCCCAGGCCTGTCTTAGAACTGGTCTATGGGCACTCCATCAACACTTATTAATTTGGATAAACTAGAGGGTTTTTAAAATTGAGATTAAGATCTTAAGCTTTTATAATGCTTCTCTATAATTGCAATCAGACATGATTTCTGAGCTCCATAGAAAATTGTTTGCTTTACTTGAGAATTATGTGTTTTAGACAAAACAAGTATTTTTTTTTTTTTCTGTTGAGTGATGATTGAACTTACTTACTTGGTTTGGCATCTGTTAGCCATAATTTGATCTCCCCAGCTCCTATAGTACGTTATAGCCATAAGAAAATCTAAAAAATTGGATCCAGTCTTGAAGGAGAGATTTACGTATCATTCAAAATGTTTCCGAGTCTATGTCACCTGGGCTCTGAGAATCAGCTTGTTGAGGGGGCCAGGGGGGCTACTGCAGGGGCTGTGCGCCCTCCACTTCCACGGACACGGCAAAGAATGGAGAGAAATGAGTGGAGACAGGAATGCTGGGTTCCTGCCCTCAGCCTTCTCTGTCACCACTTTGAAGTCGCAGGTCCTACAGGTGTTCAGTAGAACAGGTCGTTCAAGTTACAGCACAGCTGCAGGTGATCATGGTATCAGTAACCAATAGCCACCAAACTAAAGAGTTCAGATATCCACCAGTGATCTGTCTACCAGCTGAGTGCACCTCCTGGTTTCTGCCCTGAGATCCATCCATCTATCCATGCACAGAGGGCGCCCGAGTAACTCTCCTCCAAGGAAGATGCTGTCCTGTATGTTCACTGTGATTGATGCCTCCAACCCTCAACGCTAACAACTCCCTCTGAAAGCTTGGAGAGCTATACGACTAGCAGAACTTTCTGATTTTAATGTGACACCTGGAACAGCCCTTTAGTCCAATGGGATGCTTTGTCATTCCCTTTCATACACCATCCTACAGCGCAGTGTCACAGAGGGCGAACGTCACAGGGCCACTAGTGGACAAGGCTGTTGTTGCCTGAAGAAAGCAGTCATACTTTAAAAAATACTGCTAGAACAATGCTTTCACTTTAATAATTGAAATGGAATGTTTCAGCTGATTCTTCAGCGATAATATCATATATTATCACATAATAGTATCACATGTTATATTATTATGTAATATCCATATTATGATCACAGGTCATAGTGACTTCCCCAGGCCATTCTAATGTCCCTCACAGGCATTTTTGGGTGCCATGTAGCTTGCTAGGTTCTACTCATAAAAACTTGAGATTCTGCCCTTAAGCAGTTTTGCTGGAAAAACTTACTGATGAAGAGCAATAGGAAATTAGTGATGGTGTGGGGACTGGCAGCTCATGCTGTAAAGCCTAGATTCTCAGGACTGAGAGCTGAGGATCATAGTTCAAAGCTGGCCTGGGCAGAAAAGTTTCCGAGAGTCTTCTCTCCAATTAACTACCAGAAAGCCAAAAGTGGAGCTGTGGCTCAAGTGGCACAGCATCTGCCTTGAGCAAGAAAAAGCTAAGAAGAAAGTGCTTGGGCCACGAGTTCAAGCCCCAGTACCAGTATAGACGGTAACAAAACCCAGGCATAGGTTGTGGGCTGGGTAAGGGTTCCTGGAGGAGACAATGCCTGATAAAGGCATAAGAAATCAAACTAAGCTCTTTGGCTAAAAGGGGGACTTGGTGGTTAATGGCTTCCTTTCCAGGAGCAAAAGCAAAAGCAGTGAGATTAAAAGTTATTTATACCACTAAAAATAAGTTTAAAATAGCATTGAACAAGATACATAGCTATTCAACATATTAACTCTTGTGGACTGATTGACAATACCTTGCAACCCCAAATCATCAAAATCAAAATATTATATATACATATGTATGTATGTGTGTATTATTTTACACACACACCCTACAGGTATATATTCATTCTCTACTCTCTGCTGCTGTCTCTGTCTCTCTGTTAGCTTTGGCTCCTTTTCACCATGGGCTGATGTTAACTGAATCTAATGAATTTGTGCAGTAGCAGGGAAGCTGTAAGAACAATCACAAGCCTTAGAGAAACAATTAAGGACACATTTCAAAATCAGACTTGACAAAGTGCAACTATTGCTAAACCAAACACAGTTATGTACAGAACAGTTTTGCATACTTGATTATGTATTTCTACCATGTTCCCTGATAGGATTAACCCCAAAGAATAATTGCAGAATTTCTTAGGAGGAAGAATGGTAATTTTCCAAGGTGCATACACACACACACACACACACACACACACACACACACACACACACACACACACACAGAGAATGGCTGTTCCAATGACATCACACCTAGACACAGATATGATAAGTAGCTGTCCGCTTGCATATTCAGGCAGGTAAATACATACAATATAGATATAACACGAGCGACCAACTCAGAGATTCCTAAACAGAATTTACTGTCCAGTGTTACTCTACAATCATAGTTAATGTTTCTTCCCTTCATTCACAGGACGAAAGGGGGGGCTCCTGTAAGTTCAAGGACGCACCCACACAAAGGCAGGTAGGATCGCCCTGTCCTTTAGACATCCCTGCTCCCCACCTGTTCCCATGGTGACCACCAGCACCACCCAGCAAATGGTACATACCTGGCTGAAGCTCTGACTGGCAGCCCGGGCCTGAGTGCTGCGGCCTGGGAGCTGTGAAGGGGCCGTGTCACCCAGGGCCAGGGTTTGGTTGCTATGGTAGCTGGCCGGATACTGGAAAGACCCTTCAGGTTTGGAATTGAGCTGAAGTGCACTCTGGGAGAGAAGGCTGGGCCCTGCGTTAAAAGTCATTTAGAGCAGTCAGTGACAGACTAGTGAAGCAGAAATGACATGTATTATTTATTGAGAGTAGCCTAGAATTATCACATGCACGTGATCCCAGCCAGCCATGCTTTGAATTCTGAGAACTAAAATGACCATATAATTTCGCTTCCAACTCTTTTAAATGAGACTCTCTGTGTGTGTGTGTGTGTGTGTGTGTGTGTGTGTGTGTGTGTGTGTGTGTGTGTGTGTGTGGTAGTTTCAAAGTTCTCAAAGGAGTAGATTTTTCAAATGATCTCATCGTGACCTACATAGAGACTTTTCTTATGAGACAAATTGGTTAATCAAGTAGTTATTTTGGGATCAGACAATATCTAAAACATATGAAATAATGTAAAAAAGTCTACTTTTTTGTATATGTTAATTGTCCTCATAAAATCCTATCTCCTTCTCCACGATTGGAATACTAAAACATTTGAACCTTTCCAATCAGTGACAAATTCTATTGTATAAACAGTGATGTAATACCTCACTGCCAGAAGGGTAGACAGTGTTTAAAATATTAATAGCTCTTCATACAATGTAGAATCTGCCTTGATCTCACTTGGTCTCCGATGACTAGTTATCTATGGCATTTCAGCACTACTCAATAGGAGGACAAAGAGGAGACACTGTATAAAAATCAGTGTTAGTTATGTTAGGTGAACTAAGTTAGGCTCAAAGAGACAAAGGGTGCATGATCTCTCTCATATATGGAAAGTAGATGTAAATTGTAAACATACATGAAAACATGCACAGGGTCCTAAGACATATATACAGAAACATTGGCTAAAGTGTGACTATACAGAAGGGAATTTCAATGGTATAACTCCTAAAAACTTAGAGTTTAACAACATGAACACCAGGAATTTAAAAAAATAATGTAAGCTGGGCACCGGTGGCTCACACCTGTAATCCTAGCTACTCAGGAGGCTGAGATCTGAGGATCACAGTTCAAAGCCAGCCTGGGCAGGAAAGTCTGTGAAACTCTTATCTCCAATAAACACTCAGAAAACCATAAATGGTGCTGTAGCTCAAGTGGTAGAGTGCTCGTCTTGAGCTGAAGAGCTGAGGGACAAAGAGTCTCAGGGACTTTCCTGCCCAGGCTGACTTCAAACCACCATCGTTAGATCTCAGCTTCCTGAGTAGCTAGGATTACAGATGTGAGCCAGTGACACCTGACTGACTGCTCTTTTTTTTTAAATTTTTTATGCAAAAATTTAAGAAGCACTTAGGGCATTAAAAGAAGCACAGAAGAGAGCAACTGTCATTGCAAGTTGGTATTTTACCTGGTTGAGAGGTAACTGGGGCAAGAATGTGTTTGAAGGTAAAATCTTGACCATACACATTTTCTCTTATTTCCTTGTATCATGGTACAAAATAACTTTTTTTTACTTTCTTATTCTTTATTAATTACTTTCTTATTCTTAAATCTTACTCATCCAATATAAGAACTTTCATGGATTTCTGCTATAATTTTTCAGAATATCACTAAATATTTCTGCCTGTATTATAATTTCCAAAATAACTTCTTTTGTGCTAGAGCTAATAAAGAAGTTCAGGTGAGCCACAAACCACATCTAGCCCCTTCTTTGGCTTGGTTAGAAGGCAGAAGTATTTAGAGGGTGAGACATATTGAGATCCTTATCACTTACTTCTTTATTTTGGGGGGGGGGTGTCCATTCATGGGGCCTGAACTCTGGGCCTGGGCACTGTCCCTCAGCTCTTCAGCTCAAGGCTAGCGTTCTACCACTTGAGCCACAGCACCACTTCCGGCTTTTTTCTTTTTGCTTATGTGGTGCTGGGGAATCGAGCCCAGGGCCTCAGGCATGCAAGGCAAGCGCTCTACCACTGAGCCACCTTCCCAGCCCCCTTATCACTTATTTCTTGCAAAGAGTAAAACAGATGGGTACTAGTGGCTTACTCCTATCATCCTAGCTACTCAAGAAGTTGAGATCTGTGGGTCATGGCTCAAATCCAGCCTGGGTGGACACAGCCAAGAGACTCTTATCTCCAATAAACCAGGGGAAAAAAAAGCCAGAAATGGAGGTGGAGGTGTGCATCAAGTGGTAGATGTCAAGCTTGGACACAAAGAGCTAAGGGAGCGCTACAAGACTGTGGGTCCCAGTCCCAGTACTGGCACATGTGTGTTCATGCATGTGCATACATACACTGAATGAAATATGACTTTATATTTCAAGTAGACCCTCGATGTGATGTGACTTGGACCACTCTTCCAGAAAAATAATGTGTCCTCTTTGTTTAAGCATCAGTTCCCAAGAACTTTGCTTTTTTTATATTTATTTTTATTTATTTAGTTATTTTTTTGTTGGTCATGGGGCTTGAACTCTGGGCTTAGGCGCTGTCCTTCAGCTCTTCAACTCAAGGCAAGCACTCTACCACTTGAGCCACAGCGCCACTTCTGGTTTCCTAGTGATTTATTGGAGATAAGAGTCTCACAGACTTTCCTGCCTGGGCTGACTTTGAACCGTGATCCTCAGATCTCAGCTCCTGAGTAGCTAGGGTTACAGGTGTGAGCCACCGGCGCCCGGCAAGAACTCTGCATTTTTAAGACCTTTTCCTTTCCTCAGTTCCCTGGCAGAATTTCTAAACGTTATAAAGAAAAATTTCAAAAGCACTGGGTACTTAATGATGAACCAATTAACTGACACAGTTATGATTTAATATTTTGGAATAAAGAGACATTCTAAAAAAATCAGACAATGAAATACAGCTTTTCCCATCTAGCCACAACTTCATCATGAAAGGCATATCAAAAGTACAAGTATAATTTTTTTAAAAACCAAAAAAACCCCACAAATCTTCCTTAAAATATATAGTCCCAGGAAAGCAGTATCTACCACATGCTTAAGTTTCTAATAGCCTGAGAAAACATCATTTAATTCACATTGATGATATCATAGGCCTAATCTTTGGTAATACTGTCCCTGATTGGAGAGATTCGTTCAGAGTCTTATTTTGATTACCCAAAGAATATTGTCCTTATTAAATTGTGGTGGAAACTCCAGGGTATGGCAGAGTCAAGGGTTGTCTCTGAGTTCCAGGCAATAGATGCACAGGCTACAAAAGCCTGCAGAAGGCAGAGAGATCTCTGTTGTGGTAGTAGAACATGGGACTAACCATAGGGAGAAGGAGACAGAGGTCAGCATTGGGAAGGGTATAATAAATTGTGGCCAAGAGCTTTATCCTTGGTCCTTAGTGAAGGTCACTTCTTGATGAAGGAGAGTGAGCTATGGAAGGAGAGGAGAGGCCTTTCACATGAGTGGTAACCATGCTACTGGACAATGGGCAGCATCTCGCTGTGCCTAACTTTGCTATTTCTGTCAGGATACTCCACTGGGACATGATGACCTACAATTGTGACAGTCTCCTTTTCCTGATAATGCATCTCAAGGATAGCAAAGGTTACAGCAGGCTTTAGCAATATCCACAGAATGAAATAAAATCTTTAATTTCACATAGTTTATCATGATCTATGAAGCCAAAGAATTGCATGTCCTAATTATTTGCCTTTCAAAGAGAGTTTGCTCTGATGAACTTTCTTGAGTATGTAGCTAGAAAGTTAAAGAATCTTGTATATTCTAAATTGATTCATACAATCACCTCCACAAACTTACAAATGCTCTTTATGCAATGACAATGCAATGTCCTTTCTCAAAAGAATTGCAATTAAAATGATTTATTTCCCCCTGAAAAAATTATCATGGAATAATCAAATCTGCTTATCTTTTATAGAATCAGTCATGTATTTGATCAATACTCAAGGAAAACAAACCAAGAGGCTCTATCTCATTATTTTATTGAGACATCTCAAGCACCGAAACCTAGATGCACTCTGACAACAGTAATTGCAGAAATGAGCAATGTATCATAATACTACAGCATTGACATATCACCTAGCAAACACAGCAAAACAATAGCCAAAACCCTGTGCACATTTTACAATGGCTTTTTCCATTGCTCACTAGGTCTCACATCAAAATCATTTACTTATGCCAATTCTGAAGAGCACAGATACATGAAAATATGAAAAAGTTTGAAGTGAGAAGATGGCCCTTTATAATGAAAGGGAATTTTTATACAATTGATTTTTATTAGTCTTATTAACATTACGGTGCATTGAAGGAAAAAAGCCAATTTGCCACAGATTTAAAGAGCATGTGATGATTTAAGATATGCTTTTTTTCCCCCTTGAAAACTTTTGGATTGACTTCTTGTCTTGCTTGAGTTAGACGTAAACGATGGTGATAATCTTGAGGATGGCCATTACATAAACTGGGGGGTGGGGTGTGGTGGTGGATATAGTGGGACACGAGAGAGGCTGAGGCCTAACATTCCTCCGAAGGAAGGGGAGCATTGTCTTGACTGTAAATAAAACTACCTGCAAGAGACAGTGAATCAAAATTCCCTGTTTGGCCATAGAAAGAAGAGCCTTGCTCTGGTATTTGTGTCTTCTGAACAATGTCCTGAAGGGTCACAGTGGTTTCTTAGATTACTCTAGACCTTGCGCATCATGCAACAGTTCTCAAAACTGAGGCAAGGGAATTTCTCAAAAGGACGCACCATGCAGACCAGAGAGAGGAGGTGAAACCATTTCCTGATCAATTCATAATGCTCATAATGGTCTGATCAAAATTCTCTAGTCACAACGGTATAGAGGGAGGAAAGCCCAAGAAAATGCCATAGTTGTGTCTATTGATCCTAAGATGCATGAAACATGGTATCTTGAGTATAGTAGCAATGTCTCAATACATTTTCAAATCTTTGGACTGATTAGGAACTTGTAGGAAAAAACCATGTACTTGGCTCATTTTTCATCAATACCAACAGACTACATTAAGAACCAGTGTTATGCATCTGGTAAGTTGAAGACAAGACTCAGCTCTTTGTTTTCTATTGCCAACTCCAGGAGTACTTATCATTTAACCTCAAAGCATTATTTACTTAAGTCCTA